ACATGTAAGGAAGAACCATATTACAAACAGGCTAACACTAACATTTGTTTTACTTTATAATAATGAAGAGAGCATAGTTTGGAAATTCTTGTTATGAAAACATTAAAAATTATTACATAGAGAGTTTTTAATTTCAATCAATTTTATATTGATTGCTCTCTTTTAACAACTAGAACATTTTGTTTCTTTATGAACATGAACAGTGAAGGACAAGCTGACTTCACATATACAATATTAGGATCTGGATATATGAGTCTAATTAATATGTAAACTGATTATTGACTGTACAAATTTGACTGAATTAAAAAATGTTTATTTGTCCTCCAGATATAGGATATGATACAGAGTTCTCAACCAGGAGTGATTTGTCCTCCAGTGAATATTTGGCAATATCTAAACATATTTTTGATTGTCAGAGTTCAGGAGAATGGGCAGGGAAGTTTACTACTGGCACCTAATAAAATCCAGAGATGCTGCTAAACATCCTGTAATGCCCCCAAGAAAAAGTTATTCAGACAAAATGTAAATAGTAACAAGTTAAGAAATTCTGATGTAGAGGATAAGGGAGGCATAAGGTTTGATGTTTCTGACTTAGGGCTGTAGAGCTCTTTGAGGATGTAAGATTAATCTAAGTGAAATAATTACTGAGCAAGTCTCACACAGTGTGGAATATAGAGAAGTAAGAACAGAACAGGACGGTGGGAGGCATCCATATGCTGAGTAGTCAGAACAATTTGTGGAAGAGGTAGCTCTGAAAGACAGATGGGTAGGATTTACCTTAATGAATAAGAATGGAACAAAAGAATTATACCTTTCCTCCTTCTAAGAAAGTAGAGATGCTTCTTGTCTTCAAAATTGTAATTATTAGCTTACTTTAAACAAGTTTTTGGCATTAGATTTCAGACTTTTTACTTGAAGGCATTTGAAACCCCAGTTTAATGGCTATGCAGCTATTGACTACAAATGTATTGTGAACACATTCACAGTCCTACCTCTTTTATCTAACAATATTGCAACTTTCTAAAGAATGTGATTCTCAGTAGAAACGCTGAATAAAGCAAAATATTTACTAGAATTAAAAGACTGAAAATTTTAAGTTATATGTGCAGTTGATCAGTTTTCATTTAATTTCTAATGCCTCCATTGTGATACAAACATTTCAGGGGAAAAAGAAAAAGCCACATCATGGGGAATGAGTAGAATGGTGAAGTGTGTTTTCTTCTTTTGTAGTAATTTGTTATTCCTGAGAGACATCATATTGTTTATAATATTTACAAATATAAATATGTATTGAATATTATATATGAACATATATATGAAAACTCATTTTAAATAATAGATTAATATTGTGACATAATGCCTTTACTCTCTCAGATATTTCAAAAACATGCTATGGATCAAGAACATTTAAAAGAAATAAAATTGACCTTCATTATTTGTAGATTTCATGTTTGCTAAATCACCTACTTGCTAAAATTTATTTGTACCCCAGAATCAATAATCACACCATTTTTGTGTTATTTTTGAACATGTGCAGAGCACAAAAAATTTGAGTTGCCCAACATGCACATTTACAGCTTTGGTGGAAGGAAGCAATTCTGCCTTCTTGTTTCAGCTCAAATACCATGAACAAATGTCCTTTTTGCAGTCTATTTAGTGCCAGACTTTTTGCATGATTTTGGATCTGTTGATTTCACTTTGTAAAATGGTCCCCATGTGCAGCGCTAAAGTGCTGTCTAGTTCCAAAGCACAAGAAGGCTGTGATGTACCTTACAGAGAAAATGCATGTGTTAGATAATCCTCATTTAGATATCAGTTATCTAAATGCAGATAGATAAATCATATCTAAATGCAGATAGACATGCATTTATATATGAGTGTTGTTTCTAACATAAATAAATGATAAATGCTTGAGGTGATGACTGTCCCAATTGCCCTGATTGATCATTACCTTGTATACATATCAAAATATCACATGTACCTCATAAATATGTGTAACTATTACCCCATAAATGTGTGTAACTATTATTAAAATTTTTTAAATAACATTGTTTAAAACGTGAATGAAGCAACTATATATTAAACAAGGTGTCTTTAAACAGAAACACACATAAAACAAAGTTATATTTTCATCTGTTGATGAAAGTAATGTGACCGGAGACTCACAGGAACCTAACTCTGTGTTTCCCCTAGGAGCAATGCTTCAGTATTGTCTAATTCAATGTTTGAGAGGACTTTGTAGAACACAGGTAACCAGAAATATAAATAAGAACCTCATCACCTGCATCATTAACCAGATGGTATCAAGTCTTGCTTAGGTTATTGCGATACCTTCTAATTCGTCTTCTTGTTTTCACTCTTGTCCTTTATGCTTATTCTCCACAGTGCAGATTGTTAAGTCAGGTTATGTTAGGGCTCTGCTCAAAGCCATACAGTGGTTTTCCCCTCTTTCTCAGGGCAAAACCCAAAGTCCTTAGGATTACCTCTGAGGCTATCTCCCATACCACAAAAAGCAACACCACTTTACGTATCAGACCTTATTTCCTGCATGTTGCTTCCCTTTGTTTACTCCAGTTCAGCCCCTCTGGTTTCCTTGCTCCTTCTTCCTTGCTGTACATTATTTACTCCCTTCCCACTCTTGAGTTTTTTGTTTGAAAGTTTTTTCCCAGCAAGGCTTTCTCTGAATACCACATCCAGAATTGCAAACTTCTTCTCTCCTACCCCGTATACATATCGTTTTCTGCCTTTTTTTTTCTGTAGCACTTAGCATCTTCTAATATGTTTTAAATTTTATTTATTTGTTATTTTTATCTGCAGCTAAAATCAAGAAATAATATACTTTAGGAATGAAAACAACATTTTTAAACCTAGTTTTAGTAATCTTGCAAAAATTAGGCACTTTAATGTTCGCCAGCTCATATTATTTATAACAACAAATAATTATTACAAAATTCAAATATTTAGTTATTATTGAAATTAATTACACTTTGGTGTCTACTATTTAAAACATGATATTATGATGCACAAACTATATCTATATACATAGTGCCTTTTTACATTTCTAAAATAATCAAGTAATTTTAGGTTGGTAAATGGAATAATCACCACACATATGCTGGAGCTTCCAAAACACATCTCCAGTTTGGTGCTAAGCTGTCTAATTGATGTTGTCATTTGGAAATATCACAGCACCTCAAGCCTCACATATCCCAAAACAGTCTACTGTCTTCTGTAAGTAAAATGTGTTTATTATCTGTACATCTCTCCTACTGAGTAGCTATTTTATCTGTCCATTTTTTAAATTAAATTAAATTAAATTAAATTTTAAATTCCGGGACACATGTGCAGAATATGCAGGTTTGTTACATAGATAAAGTGTGGCACGGTGGTTTGCTGCACCTATCAACCCATCACCTAGGTCTTAAGCCCCACATGCATTAGCTATTTATCATGATGCTCTCCCTACCCCCACCCCTCCAACAGGTCCCAGTGTGTTTTGTTCCCCTCCCCACATTTATGTGTTCTCATGTTCAGTTCCCACTTATAAGTGAGAACATGCAGTGTTTGGTTTTCTATACCACTGTTAGTTTGGTAAGGATAATATTTTATAGCCCCATCCACGTCCTTGCAAAGAACACGATCTCATTCCTTTTTATGGTGGCATAGTATTCCATGGTATATATGTACCACATTTTCTTTGTCCAGTCTATGGGCATTTGGGTTGATTCTATGTCTTTGCTATTGTGAATAGTGCTGTAATGAACATATGCATGCATATGTTTTTATAACAGAATGATTTATATTGCTTTGGGAATATACCCAGTAATGGGATTGCTGGGTCAAATGGCATTTCTGGTTCTAGGTCTTTGAGGAATCGCCATGCTGTCTTTCACAATGGTTGAACTAATTTACATTCCCACCAACAGTGTAAAAGCATTTCTATTTCCTCACAGCCTTGCCAGCATGTGTTGTTTCTTGACTTTTTAATAATCACCATTCTAACTGGCATGAGATGGTATCTCATTGTGGCTTTAATTTGCATTTCTCTAAGGATTAGTTTCTGCCCAGTTTCTTAAACCTGAAGTCTTCACTATTCTTTCCTTTTACTGTTTGCATCCAATCAAATATCAGTTTCTGTCGATCTCATACTTTCCACCAGTTCTCTTTTCTCCATCTCTATGATCTGTTTTTGGTCCAGGCTCTCATTATTGACTTGCTAGAGTCTCTGCCTTTAAATATTTAACATTTTTTAAACTATCTCTCCTAATCAGGGCATAGTGTTATTTAAAAATATGTCTGTCTCGTAATGTCACTCCTTGTTTTAAAATCTTACAATGGCTTTATGTTTCACCAGGGATGAAGCTTAAATTTATATCAAAGACATTCATTTTATTTGTCTTCTTTCAGCCTTTAAACTTTGCTTTTCTTTCTTAACATCTCTTCTTTCTTATTGCAAGAAACGTCTTTCAATATCTTGAAAGTGAGACACAGTTTCTCTTGACTAGAAACTTGTGCACGGTTTCTCTTGACTAGAGACTTTGCCTGGAATTCAATCCCCAAATCCCTCAGCATTGTTTACTCGATGCTACTTAACAGGCAGGTTAACCTCAGTTTAAATGTAGCCTGATTTCCCTAGACTAGATTAGATGGTGGTGCTGAGTTTCCATAACATTGTATGGTACTCATTACACTTCATTGCTACTACTTGTTGAGCTCTCTACAAGCGCAAGAACTCCATGAGTCTGTCTCTAGCACTTAACATACTGTCCAGCACATATTATGTACTCAGTATGTATTTGATTGACTGAGAAAACAGAAAAATAGTAACACAAATGCTTTAAAACATGTTTTCAAAAAATATTGAAAAGCACTGGAAATGCTTCAATAAAATAGTATGAAGTAAATGTTATAAAATTAGATAGTGTGATTTAATTTTGTAAAATAAGAAATATTTTGTACATATTTTGTACACTGAAAAAAGATGTAAAGTATGCCAAAATGTTCATAGAGAATATGTTTTATTGCAAAAAAGATGTAATTTTTTTCTCATATACTTTTTTCAATTTTATAGAGTAAATGTGATCAGTTCCATGATCAGAAAAAATGAATTACTTTCAAAGGAAAATCAGTCTTCTTTTCTCTATTCTTATGAAAGATGTAGGAAGGATTTTTAACAATTATTTTATAATTTATTCTTTTAGCCATTTTTGATGCAAGGTTTTGTTGTTTTTAATACTTTTTTTGACCCATAAAACATTTTTAAAACTATGTTTAGAAATCTTATGCTAAAAAAGCTCCTCCTAGACTTGGAGACACCTATAAGCACTAATGAAATAATCCTGTTCTAGCTGACCTGTAGTTTTTTAAAGAACTATTTTTCTCCCAAGTAATTACTTCTGAAAACATTCAAAGGGTTTAGAATTCTTTCCTCAATGTCCAAATTTAAAGAAGGTAACATTACACAAAATACACCATTTTTGCTACCTCACAACTCAGCAATTCTGGCTGGTTTATTAATATTTCAACTCTCTCCTTTTTTATCTCTCAATTACATATTACAAATTATTTGTATCAGCATTTGGGTCACGATAGTTTAACAAGTCTCTAGGAAGTTTCAAACTTTTTCTCATCTTTCTGTCTTCTTTTGAGCCCTCCACACTTTTTTATCCTCTGCCTGTTACATTCCAAAGTCACTTCCACATTTTCAAGTATCTTTATAGCACTCTACCAGGTCTCAGTACCAATTTTTTTGATTAGTCCATGCTCGCATTGCTATAAAGAAATGCCTACAACTGGGCAATTTCTGAAGAAAAGAGGTTTAATTGGCTCACAGTTCCACAGGCTGTACAGGACACATGATTTTGGCATCTATTCAGCTCTGGGAGGCCTCAGGAAATGTACAATTATGGGAGATGGCAAAGGGGAAGCAGGCACATCTTACATGGCTAGAGCAGAAGGGAGAGAGAGATGGGGGAGGTCCTTCACACTATTAAATAACCGGATCTCATGCAAACTCACTCACTTACTATCACGAGAACAGCACCAATGGGATGGTGGTAGCCCATTCAAGAGATCTCCACACCACCGACCCAGTCACCTCCCACCAGGCCCCACCTCCAAAACTGGGGATTACAATTCAATATGTGATTTGGTGGGGACACAGACACAAAATCATATCATCACATTAATCACTTTGCTATTCTTCAAACCTACCTTTGGGGTTGTCAAACTTGCCATTCTTTTTGCTGGAAAGTTCTTGACCCAATATTATTTTCTCTTTACTTCCTTTAAGTTTTGATTATATTACCTTTTCCAACAGACTATCCTGATAGAAAAGGCTATCAGGCTGTTATCTAAAGTTCCAGCTTGAACACCCAAACACACCCAATTTCCATATTCAACCTTATTTTTCTTATTTGCATTGCGCTTGCCACCATTTAACATTCTTATTGTTTACCTCTCCCTCCCTAAGATCAGGGAGTATTTTATTCACTAATGTACTGAATACATTTACAAAAGATCTTATATATATTAAATGTTGAATTATTTGACAAAGGAAAAACTGACCATTGTTTTTGTTATAGTAAAGCCTTAGTTTATACTAACTCAGAATTTGTAATTTTTCCTGAATTTATTTTATATTTGTCCTTATATTTTCTATTAAAAATTGTAATTCCTTTGTAACTACATAACATTTCAAAAAGTTGGAATTGCAAAAAAACGAATCTCTTTAAGAGAACTATTTTAAGCATTTTTTACTGAATTTATATGTAGACAATAAGTAAAAGGTTTATTTCTAGATGAAATCCCCTGCCTAAGATTTTGACAGTTATTAGTTGGTGTAATTATATTTTACTGAAAGCAATAAAGTTACCTTGGCTTTAAATTGGTGCATTCTTCAGCCTTGAACTAATTTTGGACTGGCCATCTCAGCTAATTGCTCTGCATTAAAGAGTGCTTACAATAATATTAAAGAAATCATAAACAAATATAAAATGGAGTGTTGCAAGGATACATTCTTCAGCTTTATACACATCTGACATTCTAGGAGTCTGTGGTTCCTGATGAAAGACACTAATAACAGCCTTTAGTTTCCCTAATGGCTAAAGCATGTTCTGTTGGAAAGGCACATTAAGGATATATTAATTATTTGAGGGAACTGGAGTACCATTATTTCACTACAACATTTCAGTGACCTTAAAAAAAGGAAATGGAAACCATGAACTAATAATAAAGCACTGTGACATTAAATGATGTCTGCAAAGCCTGAAAAACTTACAAATGCCGTAAGGATTTAATAGTCATAAAAATCTGTCTCTTTAAGTCAATGTGCTGCCTCTACTGAGCAATCAAGCAGGTGGAAATTGTGAATAGACTTGAATTGTGTGTCCTGTGATGTCAGGGTTTACCCTGAACTCTTCACACCTTGGGCAGTTCTCCATTGCATATGATGACATGTATTTTTCAAGCAGTTGGGCAGATGTATAGTGTATTCCTGGCCATGGGCCTATGATCCTGGGTTCATTACCATGGAATCAACACTGATAGTGAAGAGGACTCTAGTTGTTTCTATGTGGCACTTAAAGAAGTTAACTTTATTAAAAAATAAATAAAAAGCTGGTAAGAATAAAGAGCTCTCTATAATTTAAAAAGGCCCAGAGCTCCTCCCACTCTTCCTGAGAGAAATTACCTAACTGCTAATGTGCTATGCAAAGAAGCTTTCCAAACTGCCTACTGCCTAATTAGCTTTATTAAAAATATACATAAAACTCGTTTTGAGTGGTGGGTTTATTATCTAGAAAATGATACAAACACAGGATTACCGAATGAAAACAAGTAAACAAATACTCAACTTATCATAAAATTTGTTAGCATTAACTAAAAGAAAAAGAACATATTAGTATGTTGGTCTTACTTGTCAAATTGCCAAGCAGGTGGGAGGTTTCACTTGGTGTCTTTCATGAGCTCTTGGTTTGAAATGAAGAGAGTGTGAGCTTCCTTCCACCCCCGATTATTTTATGTTCATCTTAATGTTCACTTCTCAAAGATATTTCAGAGTGAGATGCTGTTTTTTTCCTTCCTCTTTCAAAGTTTCATCAATTAGTATTCGACATGTCTATGGAATGATAAGTATTAGTTAGCATAATTAAAAAGCAAGAAAGCAATTTGCCTTTTACAGCCATATATTTGAAAAATTAATTGGTGCTTATAAGTCCTTCCTAATCTTCTGTTTTTCCCTAAAAAAATAAGTTTGTGTTAAAAAATTATGAAATTAGAGAGTAATTGCAGTATGCATTGTAAATGGTAAATATGAGTTTGGCTGAATTAATTCTGTTCAGCATTTGGCCACCTGTTTCCACCACTGCTAATTACATGAAGTCAGTCTAGATTGGATATGAACTAATATATGCGATATTGTTATAAAACCTTCCAGGTGCTACATATTGAAGATACTCTAACTGGTAAAAATATCCTCTCTGGAAGGACAGGGGATCAAATTCTGATTCTGTCAGAATGTGTCTTTCTGCGTGGCATTCAGTAAATAAAACTTATCTTTGCTCTCTTAGTTTCTTCTTAGCATAGACATAACAGTAGTACATTTAAAATAAATTGTAAACATTATGGAGCATCCTGGCCAGGTGCGGTGGCTCATGCCTGTAATCCCAGCACTTTGAGAGGTCAGGGCAGGTGGATCATGAGGTCAGAAGATTGAGAACATCCTGGCTGAAATGGTGAAATCCCATCTCTACTAAAAATACAAAAAATTAGCCAGGTGTGGTGGCATACATCTGTAGTCACAGCTACTTGGGAGGCTGAGGCAGGAGAATCGCTTGAACCTGGGAGGCGGAGGTTGCAGTGAGCCAAGATTGTACCACAACACTCCAGGCTGGGCGTTAGAGTGAGAGTCCGTCTCAAAAAAAAAAAAAAAAGGAGCATCCTTGCATTGTACTCCACAAAGTTTGACCTTCATCTTGATCTTCTCTTCTACATTTGCTTTGGCCTTCAAAGGCTCTCCATTGACTTTTGATGCAGATACCTTGGTACCTGATAAGTATGGCAAAATATACCATTGTTTTGTGGTTTTCTGGTTTTGGGAAATTTTCAGTCTTTCTGCACTAGTTTTTCAGTCTTTTTGCACTGGTTTTTTTATCTTCATAAATTTACCTACCTTTGGGCTTTGATATTGGTGACCTTCAGATGGAGTTTCGGTGTGGACCTCCTTTTTGTTGATGTTGATGCCTTTCCTTTCTGTTACTTTTCCTTTTAACAGTCAGGCCCCTCTGCTCCATTTCTGCTGGAGTTTGCTGGAAGTCAACTCCAGACCCTGTTTGCCTAGGTATCACCCGCAGAGGCTGAAGAACAGCAAAGATTGCTGCCTGTTTTTTCTGCTGGAAGCTTTGTCCCAGAGGGTTACGCACCAGATGCCAGCCGGAGCTCTCCTCTATGAGGTGTTTGTTGACCCTTGTATGAAGGTCGGGGAACCACTTGAGTAGGCAGTCTGTCCCTTTGCAGAGCTTAAGCACGGTACTGGGAGATCCACTTCTCCCTTCAGAGCTGATGGGCTGGCAAAATATTAAAGATATTAACTTTTAGGAAAAGTTATAGATTAGCCTCAAACCTTCTGGAAGGCCGAAAGGTTTGATTGGGGCAGGCTGAAGGCTGCCAGCTGGTCCATTAAGTTAGGGAGAAAATAGGGATGAGGCTTTCCCAACTAAGTCTGTTTACCCCACATCCCTTTGTCTCCACCTTAATTGTTTACTCATGTAAACTTTGTGCTGGATGGTTCTCTCAATGGGAGTTCAAAGGGGAATTACCTGTGTTTACTCTGGGCCTGGAACCTATAGCTTTTACAATTTGTATAACCATTCTTTTAACCATATTAATTATCCACAAGTGTGTTAACTTAGAACCACTGTTATGAATAAAAGTGTGGATAAACAGAGGGGCTTGGTTGATTGGTTGCACTTTGCCCACTAAAAGCAGCCAAGACCCAGCCCTAGCCCACTTGAAACACTGTAATGGTGTGAGAGTGCATTCATTCATCCATTGTTAATTCAGGATCTGCAGGTCAGACTCTGCAGATGGTAAGCAATGTCTCAAATAATAGACTGGATATAGAAAACATGGCACATATACACCATGGAATACTATGCAACCATGAAAAAGAATGAGTTCATGTCCTTTGCGGGGACATGGATGAAGCTGGAAACCATCATTCTCAGCAAACTAGCACAGGAGGGGAAAACCAAACACCGCATGTTCTCTCTCATAAATGGGAGTTGAACATTGAGAACACATGGACACAGGGCAAAGAATATCATACACCAGGGCATATTGAGAGGTGGGGAGTTAGGGGAGGGATAATATCAGGAGAAATGCCTAACGTAGATGATGACTGATGGGTGCCGCAAACCACTATGGCATGTGTAGACCTATGTAACAAGCCTGCATGTTTCCCAGAAATTAAAGTATAATAATAATAAAAGCAGGCAGAGGAACATGGAAAGACTAAACTAGTTTGGTCTTCTGGCTTACAAGAAAAAAAGAAATGAAATGAAATGGGTTCTATTACAACCAATACCAGAGAAATACAAAAGATAGTTCAAGGCTACTGTGAACACCTTTACATGCATAAACTAGAAAACCTTGGGAAGATAGATAAATTCCTGAAAATACACAATCCTCCTAGAGTAAAACAGGAAGAATTAGAAACTCTGAAAAGGTCAATAACAAGCAGAAAGATTGAAATGATAATTTACAAATTGCCAACAAATAAAAGTCCAGGGACAGATGGATTCATAGCTGAATTCTATCAGATATTAAAAAAGAATTGGTACCAATCCTACTGACACTATTCCACAAGATAGAGAAAGAAGGAATCCTCCCTAAATTATTGTATAAAATGGAGTAGTATCAGAGAAACTTTAATGTGTTCTTTCAATTCAACTTTAAATAAACATGTCAAAGAGAAAGTATTATCCCCCAGAATCCTATCTTCTCACAGTTGCTTTTCATTCTCCTTATGTGGCACCATCTCTTCTTCATTCTTGCCTGAAATTAATTTTCAACTTCTTTCCATCCAGTGATGTCCCAACTCTTTTTTAAAAGTCTCCTGAAAGTCTTCTGGTGATGCACCTCCTTTATAAAACTGCCCAGATCAGCTCCTCTAGATTGCTGAAGAGTAAGCTCTTCAGAATTTGCTTCAGTCTCTTTCTCTTCCTACTTCATCTATGTCTTAACTTAGACTCGAGTGTATTGTATTGTCTTTCCACATCTAAACATCACTAGAATAGCCTATTTCTTATCAATGATCTTGAGCTTTACATGTGCTCTTAAAAAAGTGTATTTTAGGATAAAAGACTAAGCTACGGTTAATAAAGCATTCATTTAATATCTGGACAGACTTTGAAATCATAAAATTTAAACTTCACCTGAAAAATTAAATATTTTCTTTCTTCAAGTTCATAAAAAAGTTACTGAAATCCTAAACAAGTAAATGAATTAACAAGTGATCTGCATGGCTCACATGCAGCTTTTAAAAAAATATAGCTTATATTAAAATGCTAATTTATACATTATATTTATTTATAACATCTATAATAACAGCTGTGGCAGACACTTAGACATACTTTATTTTATAAAAATACAGGTGTTCGCTTTATTAAATAAAGTGAAAAACAGATGTTTAAAAGTGTTTTTAAGATTGCATAGCTTCAGTTACTTTTTATCAACCATAGATTATTCTAAACATGAAAGAAAATTTAATTTACTTAATCTAATAAATACTCCATTTCCCTTGTTTAATCCCAGTCACATTGTTTCATTTTTTTACAATATATTGTAAACATTTTAGAATGTAAAACCAGTGTAAGTGGTATGCAAATTTACCCACTATCCTTTTTCATCTTTTTCTTTTTCCCATTCCTTGCTATAGTACCTTCCATTTTCTTGCTTAAAAAAAAAAGACAAATAAAAATAAAAACCTTCAATATTAACCAGAAGAAGCAGTGTTTTGCCTGTCTCTTAGGAATATAAAAAAGTCTTCTAACATTTTCCCCCCCGAAGTGAGAATTGTAGTACTGCTGTTTTCATACATATTTCTTGGTTTCTGTGATTTTTTTGTTCCAAATAATTTTGCATTATTTATTAAGCATTTGAAAATTCATTTCTTTGCAAACAGAGGGAATGATAAGCTTTTTAAATGTGCTACATTAGAGGCAGACGATCAAAGGCAATGGCTGGAAAGGCATATTGATGTTATCTCATTTAGCAGAAAAACAACAGATGGTTTCCCAAAAGATACACAGGGAGCTTAGAAAACCAGTTTTTACTGTGTTGGTAAAAGAATCAGGAAGTCTATAGCTACATGACAACATACTCTTATATCCTTGTATGTCTTTAAAATTGTTTCTTTTCTAGAAAAACAGTAATCATGTTTGGCTATTTTATGAGAGCCATATGTGTCAGCATGATGCATGTGGGAAGAGAATGAATGACAATGAGAGATTCAAAATGCTCTCTAGGTAGCAGTTGTCCGAAGAAGCAGGATGCTCCTTTTTTTAGTGAAATTCTTTCCAAGAAGTCATGAAGCTAATTGATTCATTTATTTTAGATTTTTTCTAACAACAGAAAGTTGAACATTTTATTCGTTTGCTACCATAGTCTTATATTCAGCAAATCCATTTGACTTTTGAAAAATCTAAAACCAATTCCATAATTCTCATTTTTTTTCTAATATTGTGGTAGGCATTGAAATAGAGTAATTGTTCATATTCAAACATTCAAATTACCTGTCATAAAAATCTGGGCCAGTTTATTCTCTTTAATTGGCCTGCTCATGTACAGTAATGGAAAAATCCAGAATAGGAAATCTTTAGACATATCCTGTGACTATGATAGTGATGGTGGCAGAGGAGAATGTTTTATTTGAAATTTACTTGTAGTGAGGAGTTCCAAGAACTAGGAAGTTCAGTTTCTGATATGCAATTTTCTACAGGCAATACAACATAAATGTGGGTGGTTTTAACATGATTATGAATGAAGCATGTATGTATGAAATATTTTATTGGTAAAACATGACTTTATTAGACATGAACTATTGAAAGAGAATAAAGAGTTATAGATGATGCTTCAATTAGTCCTGATCTGAATTTACACGTCATTACTCCCTCCTTGCTCACTCAGCCTCAGCTATCTTGACGTCCTTGCCATTATACAGAAACATCAGGCACATTCCTGTATCAGTGCCCCTGAGCTTGGTATTCCTGCTTCTTTTCCTACAGACATTTCAAGAGAAGTCTTGCACCTTTTTTTTTTTTTCAGGCCTGTGCCTCAAGCTTACCTTCTCAGTAAGGATTTCTAGGACCTCTCTATTTAATGTTGTAACATCTCTCGTCTTCGACATGGTGTATGAATGGGAGCATGGGGAGCCTTTATAGATATGGAAGAATAAAGGAGAGTTCTGTTTTGAACACATTAAAATAGAAATGTGCTAAAGGGAGATAGAAACACAAATCTGTATCTCTCTTTGCTGCACCTACTTCAAGAATAAAGCCTATTCTTGGCAGATTGCCTATGTTCCAAGAAATGAAATCACTCTGAAGGATGTACAGTGATTGTGAAGGCCACAGAAGGGACCTGCAGAGAGACCTCAACTACACCAGTGTAGCACTCAGTCTCCTTGGGAAGAGAAATAAGAGGCTTTGGGTTGATAAATGATGGAGTAAGAGAAAGGAGCTGGCTACCATTTGCAGTATATGTAGTCATGCATGGAACGTAACCAAGGGTGTTACACTGGGCTTTTGTTACAAAATGAAGTTTGCGTGTGCTCACTTCCCCAGCAAGGTTGTTATTCAGGAAAATGGTCTCGATGAAATCTGAAATTTCTTGGGTAAAAAAAATATCCATTTGTTTTAACTGGAGCGAGGCATTGCTTATTCAATATTTCAAGCCCAGAACAGTGAGTTAATTCCCAAAGCAAATGACAAGAATTTGTATCAAATTCAGCTGCTTGGATTCAGCAAACCATAACAGATATAAACAAGGATATCAGAAAATTTTTGGATGGTGTTAATGTCTCTGAAAAACAGAACAGTTCAGCGCATTGATGAAAGATCTAAGAGCTGTCTTGAACAAAACAATAAGATGCTAGATGATTTTTAAGACCTATTAGTGATATTTTAAAGATGCACTAAAAGATCTCTATTGGGAAATAGAAATCTATACCATAGGAAAGATATTCATTTTAATTGTGCACTTTTAGCAGTTCTCAAAATAAAAGTAATATAGGTATCAAAACTTACGCTTCAAGGCATGATGAAATGAGTGTTTATGGCAACTAGAAAAGCCAAGTAAACTACAACAAAAATTTTTAAGGGTTTGGGTTAGCTGCTGAAGCAAAACAGCATGGAGGAACTGGAATTCCAGGAAAAAAAATGGGAATAATTTCAGAGGTAGACTGAGGAGCTATATACTTTCCTTTTTCTCTGGGGACATTTGCATATTTGGGCTGAAATGAATTGAAAGCTGAAATATGAGCTTGGTTAAGACAGAACTGCTGCTA